GGGACGGCCCCACGCGTCACCGCAGGGCCCCCGGCGTCAGGACACCCAGCAGGAAAATCCAACCCCGGAATAGAAAGGAGGACGGAGGGGGGTATTTTTAACCCCGGGAAAGGAGCCCGGCGCTGGGGGGGCTTTTGCTGCCGCCCGATTCGGCTCCGGGCAGCTCAGACGCTGCCACCGCCGCCCCAGGCCCCGGCGCCCCCGGCCCCGGGCCTGCCACAGCTGCCCCAGGCCCTGGCGCCCGCGGCCCGGGTCCAGACCGACCTTGTAGCCGTCGCTCCAGGTGCAATGTGGACGCGTCCGTGTGTCCCATCCGGGGTGTATTTGAGGGGGGGACACACGATGATGAGAACGAGCCCCAGAGCTGAGGGGCCCATGGGCTTTTCCTGCCTTGGAAGCGGCCTCAGAGCCACCTTATCCCTTAACATGAATCTTGAGTGAGTGCAGAGATAGCCCTTATCTTACATAAAACACGGGATTAAGAGCGCTGGAAAGATCCCTCTTTGTCGATAGGTTTCTAGGTATCTCTAGGAACCTCCCCAGAGGTGTCTAGGGGTTTGGTTTGTGAGGGTGGGTTTGTACCAATCCCTGGGATGTGACTTGGCTTTCGGGAGCAGGGAAGGTCCATCCAGGCCAATGTTGGCCACCGGCACTGGAGCTGCTGTCCTGACCAAGCGTCTCTCTGTTCCCTTGGAGGGCCAGGAAGCAAACGGGCACTTTGGGGCCTGCTTCACCCACAGCAGGTTCCAGGCTGCCCTAAGGAGGTGTTTGGGGCTAGAAGACCCCGTTATAGGAATGGCTCCTCCTCGCCCGCAGCTGGGAAAGGAGGCCCAAGGTCCAAGGGAGACGACGGCAGCAGCCGGTGAATCCACGGCCACGTGGAGAAGCTCCAGGCACTTCCTGAGGGCAGCTGTGAGGAGCAGAGCCAACAAGAGCCCAATCTGGAACGATCCCATCCCTCAACACAATGTCCCCATCGAGAGCACCTCTTTTCACCTAGTAGCGATTCGTAGCCTCAAGGTCCTTCCGGCCTCCTCCCAGCTAGGACAATGTGCAGACATTGAGGGGACCGTAAAAAACTTCCCTTTTCTCCCCCTTGATTAGTCCAGCTTCAGACTGGGGGAGGCCAAACCAAGACAAACTGGAAACACCTGTGGGTGCCCCCAGCTGCCCCATATCCCATCCCGAGGCGGCGTCTGGGCTCGTGCGGCCTTCGCTCCATCCCGCTTTTCCCTCCTCCACGGCCCACGCGGAGACCAGAAGCAGCTCCATGACCGCCAGGGCCGGGGGCTCGGAGAGCTCTTGGCAGCCCCTTCAAGTCTGGAAAGAGCTGCGTTTCCAAGCCAATTTATTGCTGCTGCTCTTTATTTTTTACCCAGGATGAGAATAAAACGCATCCAAGAAGGGGTTTCTAGGCTTGAAAACCCCCCGGGGCTCCGTCTGCCCCATCAGCCGCTGGCCGGGCGCCACCGCTCCTAAGACGGGCCATAAAACCGGGGGCTTTCGCGGCGTTTTCCGAGGCGAGATCCCCGGCGCTCACCCCCTTCCAGACAGGGAAGGCGAGACGGAGCGGGGAGCTTGGCAGGAAGACCAGAGACTTCCCGGCAAAGGGCTGGGAGGGAACGACGGTGCCGCTGGATGGGCCAGGCTGGAAAGATCCGCTCGGATCCATCCCCACAGGAGAGGCCTCTGCAGGGAGCAACTCGCTGGCCCCAGGTTCTCCCCATTGAAGGATCTCACTCGTTTCGGTCCGAGGCAGCATCTTCTATGTCTCAAACTGGAGCTTCCCCCCTGCTTCAGCCTCTCGCCCCTTGCCCAGGAGGCCTCGGCCTCGCGTGTCCCTTCCCAAGGCACATGGTGGCCTCCAAACGCAACGTTCCTGCCAGCCCGTGAGCTCCGGGAGCTGCTTCTGCCCACACGTGGGTTGTTCTCCCTCAGGATAACGTCCAAATCCTTCCAGGAGCTCGGTCACACGCTGCCCCTTCGCAGGCCTGGTTTGGTTGGGGCAGAGCTCAGGAGGCCAAGGGGACCCATCCCAGAATCCCAGAGTGGGTGAGGGTGGAAGGGACCTCCAGGGATCACCCAGTGCAGCCCCTGCCCCAGCAGGGACACCCAGAGCACGGGGCACAGGGTGGCATCCAGGCGGGTTGGACATCTCCAGAGCAGGAGCCTCCACAGCCTCTCTGGGCAGCCTGTGCCAGGGCTCTGGCACCCTCACACCAAGGAAGTTCTTCCTCACATGGACATGGAGCTGCCTGGGCTTCAACTTGCACCCATGAGCCCTTGTCCTGTCCCTGGCCACCACCCACAAGAGTTTGGCCCCATCAGGCCTCCCACGCACCAAACCGCATCGTGAGGCAGCTGAGGACGACACAGAGGTGAGAAATCGCAGAGGGAGGTTTAGTCACGGATAACGCTCCGGGCTCTCATCCCACAGGGCTGCATCCGTGGCCACCCACCCTCCAAACCATCCCCTTACGACACGCTAGAAACGGGTAGAAAAAAGTAAACATCAGGCAAAAGGGTCTAAACACAAAGGCCTTTGGCCTCGGGTCGGGCTCCGGCGCCACCTCCTTGCGAGCGCCGGCATCCTCAGCCCTGGCCTCCAAAAACCGGGAGCGAGGAAGAGGGCGGGATGAAGCTCGGGAAGCGCCGGAGGCCCCCGGGGCCTTTTCTGCCCCGTCATGGGAGGTGGAACGGCGACTTCGTGCTCCCGCTTGCCCTACGGGTGATGCAACCGCTCCCTGAGTCACCCGCTGTCACTTCCTGGGGACACCGAGGCCTTTGTTTGCCACCCGGGTGCTGATATCCCCCGCGGGGACATTTCCAGGTGAAGCCTGAAGAAAAACCCCCCGTTAGGTTCAAGGTCTTCCCTTCTCCCGCAAGCCAAGGGCTGCTCCGTGTAAGAGGAGACGGGGTGGCCGCCCATCACCTCACGCGGGCCAAGGAGCCGTCGCTCACTTGTGTAATGGGGGTTGATTCTCCAGCCTCGCAAGGCCCCTTTTCTCCTTTCCCCCCGGGGTATGGGCTTTAGCTGCTCCATGTTTTTCCTGGATAATTTCACATAGAAACGCGGCCACGATGGAGTAGCCTCCTGGAGAGCCAAAGCCAACGGGCAGCACCCGGAGCAACGCGAAGGAACAGCAGGGCCTGAGGCCAAGGGGGTGTCCGGGTGGGAATGGGGGGATTCCGACCTCCCCGTGTCCGACGGGTCTCCAAAGGGAAGGAGAAACCCGCGGGAGGAGGCCCCGGGCACGGGCCGGCAGGTTGGGGATGGCTCTTTTCCTTGGAGCCCAGCAAGGACGTGGGTGACAGCAGGACTGGCCCGGCGGGTTGGGATGGAGCCATGCGCTGGCTCCGTGCCTGGATTTGCCATTCGAACGAAGGGCTGAAGGGAGCCAAACAACAGCGCAACCTGAAAACCCAGGGAAGGGAGTAACCCAAGCAGAGCCGAGGGGGGTTTGCACAACTCCGAGCCCTGTTTAGACAGTCTCCTTCCCTACCCACAAACACAAAACTCGGCAGGAGTCCAAGGGCACTTCAGCTGCCACTAAAAAAGCAATTTCTACAAACCAGGTGTGAACAACGGTTGTGTTTTGCGGGATCTTCCATTATTTTACCCCATGCCTAGGAGAAACTGGCCCATGGTGGTTTTCCAAGGGCTGGAGAGACGCCAAGTCCTGCAAGTGAGAGGCATGAAACCTCTTGTAGGAGGTAGGGTTGTCTTGGACCCTTCCTTTTGGGTGGGTAAGGGAGGCAAAACGCCATCAGAGCAACAGTAACCAATGAAGGCAGCTCTGGAGAAGGAACCTGGATGGTTGAGGGTCAAAACTACCTTCCCAACCAACGTTCCCAAAGGGACATCTTGAAATGGGGGTGCCCAAAAGCCTTGGAACAGGAGGGCCGGGATGTGACCTGCGTCTGAGCGGGGGGACAAGCTCATGTCAGAGACACAACCCAGCGAGTGCAAGGACCAACACCTGGACCACGGCCAATCCAGGAGATCCGTGTCCACCACGGCTTCCTTCGCATGGGCAGCTCCAGGGAGGGCATTTCCTCAATACGGGAGAAATTTATCCCACTTGTAAAGTGAAAACCAACCTGCTCCTTCCCCGGGTCTTGCAGGCTACCCCGGGCCTTCGTTTCCACCCCCAGGCCAGTATTTGTGATACCCTCTGCCCTCCAGACCATACCTGCTGCAGAGATGACTCAGCCACTGCTGCTCCAGCTGCAAATTGCCACACAAATTGCACTCTGAGGAACCCCAAACTCGCTATTGATTTATCTCATCTCCCTTCCCTTTCTCCCGAGCTGTTAAAACGCCCAGAAGATGCTTCACAACCAGCTGGGGAGCCCCAACAGGATGAAAAGAACTGAGGAGTAGATGGGTTGAGAAGATGAGAGACATTCTGAGACTCTCAGAGGGAGTTACCTCCACTTGCAATTTAGAAATCCAGGAATATACAAGTAAATACCCAGAGGATAAACAACCACCACCTGCCTGTGTGCTCAGCACACAGGGGGATGATTTGGGTGTTTTTTCCTGCTTACTGAGTCTCAAAGCACTTTGTGGAACACTTTTCCACCCAGACACAGCAGCAGCAAGCAAAGCTCTTGCTTTCCAAGAAAACAACCACGTGTGTAGTTATTCCTGCCAAAGCAGAGCTGCTTGGACCTTCCAGAAAATCCTTAATGAAAGCGAAATCCATCGGCAGGGCCACTTAAAACAGGAAGGGGAAAATAAACAAATAAATAAATCTTAGGACTTACCGTACAGGTGATTTACAAGAGAGGAAAAAAGAAAGATGCCACCAAAAGGAATTGGTCTCTTTATTCCCAGTTGTTCAAGGATTTTTGTTTGGTTGATTTGCTTTTACATTAGAACCTTGGCTGCTGCCTAAGATGGTGCAACAGTGAAACGGCAGATTTTAAGAAAGCAAATTATCAAGAGATTTGGATTTTCAACTCAGGTTACTGATCCATGTGCATTTTCCTAATATTTACTTAACCTTATGAATGGACACGTTGGACAGAGGAAGCTTTTCTTGAAAGATTCAAATCAAAATCTTTATGCTACCATTCACAGGGCTGAATCCCACCACAGACATCCCTAGGGCTTCCCTGAGCTTCTTCGCAATTCCACATTTCCGCTATTTTAAATACAAAATTCCGGGTGGAATTATAAACAGACAACCCCTCCTTCCTCCACGGTCTTAGGAACTGGATCAGACACCTCAGAGGATTCCAGGTCATGGTTCAAATCACAGTGCTCAGACTCACCGTCCCTTTAACACCCAGCTCCTTGGAGGTTGCTGTTTTGGGGTAAAACGCAACATCTTCCATGCAAGGAAGACTGGAATTTTAGCTCTGATGATATTAATGTCACCACCAACATTCCAACCACCAAAGCACAAAACTGATAGATTCTGGGAGGATCCCCCAGGGGGAGAAATCTCAAAATCCAAAGCACAACCCAGCGCTTACCTTTCATGTGGGGGCAAATCCCAAAGGGATCTGCTGCGTTTCTACACAAGGGACAGGACTTTGTCCCAGCGATGTGGCTTCACAGACGGGCTGCTGCAGGACAGCAATCCTGCCACTTATTGCACATAAAACCAAGTGCTCACCACAGTGGTGGCTCTCAACAAGTGCAGAAACCTGCTCTGAACGTTTCCCAGACGTCACCATCTGAGGACACCGTCTCTAAATCCCTTTGCAGGCAGGGGAGAGGCAGAGGGGAGCTCCCAGGACACATCCTAACAGTGACATCTAAACCAGGATGGAGAAATCACGCTCCAGGAGTATGTATTTCCCTCCAGTGACTGCAAAGGGAGATGTCTTTAGCCAGAGACATCTAAAATTCGGGAAAATTAACCCAAAGAGCGAGCCTCTAAGGGGATGACACCCCAGCAGGGACTTAACTCCAAGCCAGGGCTACAACTTGCCCAAGTCTCTCGTTGCTAAAGCAATCGCCGATGGAGAAGGGGTGCCAAGTGCTGTCACACGAATGCTATTTACACAGCTTGCTTAAATTAAGGGTGGTTTCTTGTGGGGAGGTAGACGAGAAAGAGACAGAGGCTTCGTAGCGCGGGACCTGCAGGTCCCCCCGGGCCCTCCGTGGTCACCTGGGGCCCCGTCAGTTGTAGGACAGGTACTGGATGAGCCGCTGGGGGATGTTGAGCTGCGCGATCTTCTCGAGCGCGCGCCGCCCGGCCGCCTTCCGCACCGTCACCCTGCAGAGCTGCGACAAACTCAGCGGCGTCTCTGGAGCGAGAGGGGACCCGGAGGGGACCCGGAGTCACCGCCGGAGCCCGGCGGTTCCGTAGGGTCCTCCCGAGAGGCGTCTGCTGCTCCTGGATCCCTCCCTCCTTCCTCCACAGGGATCCGGCCACGGGGGCTCGGGAGCTCATGGGCACCCCCGGGGCTTTGCTGGGGCTGCGCGGAGTCTCCGCAAAGCCAAATAAAGGAATAAAACCTCCTTCTCCTCTGCTGCCCTGGTTTTTCAGCTGAGGATTGCACGAATCCTTGTCACCGAGGGCTCCCTGCACCTCTCTAAGGCCTTTCCTGAGAGCCCCCAGCCTCCATCCCAGATGCTGGCACATGTGAGCACGGAGTGACCAGGAGCCCCGTTGCTCTGGAAGCCACCAAGGCTAGAAAGCTACTGCCTCCATCCCCACCACGATCTGCTCCCAGCCTGAATCTAGCCCTGGATCGAACGATGCAAGTTAAAAACAAACTAAAGAGCTAGTATTAAAAGTTAGCCCAGTTCCCTTGGAACAGCCTGTGTTGAAAAGCAACTGGGCAGGCATTTCTGATAGCAGAGGGGGCAGCAAACTCTGGCAAGATGCAGTCATATTTATGGGCATGGGGGATGCAATCCCTTAACCCAGCCCAGCTGCAGCCAGCACGGCTCAACTTCTCTGAGAAAAGAGAAATAGTTGAGAGAAGAGGCTGCTACACAGAGAGCAGCAGCCAGAGAAGGGCTGTAGGGACTTGCCACACAAATGGAGCTGGATTCCTGGTGCAGGGGGTCGTATCTCACTCACTCTCATAGTACTCAAAGCACTTGGCTGTGGGGCTGCTGCTCCAGGTGTAGTCGGACGGTTTCTTCCCGCGGTTGTCCCTGGCGTAAATGTTTCCTCCGAATTCAATCAGCATCTCCACGAGGTCGACGTTCTTCACTTTCGCCGCGTGGTGCAGGGCCGTCTCGTGGAGTTTAGCAGCGTTCACGTTCGCCCCTGGAAACGGACAGAAAAGGAAATCTGCTCCTGAAAGGCCTCGCTTGACCCAGCCAGGAGGGACGAGTTGGCTGGAGAATAAAAGGGCTGTTAAAACAGCTACGAGGGCCTAAAATGATCCAAACAGGAAACCAAACCCCCGAGCAAGCTCTCTGTGCTGGCAGCGCGTGCGTTTTCTTCCCTGGCTTTCTGTTTTCCTTGCACAGAAAGGACTTTAATCCACGCTACAAGGTGAATAAGCAGCTGTGTGCTTCCCGAATCCGTGCGCTTTCCGAAGTCGGCAGAGATTCCCAGTCATCCCGACCATCTGAGATCAAGTCTTAGGCACAGATATTTTGGCTAAGGATAAGAATTGCCTCTGTAAGCTGATAGCAGAGGGCCCTGCTAATATCCCACAACTGCTTGTGTTCCTCCTCTCAAGCTGATTTTCCAACAGAGGTGAGGAAAACCCCACAGAATTCACACAATTGACTTTAAATACATCCATCTGCACAGGTCACGCTGGATTCTTCTCATAATTAACAAAAAGAAATGGGTGATCAATTAATCTCAGGTGAGGTGCCCGGTACAGGCAACTGGAGGGAGGAGGCAGGGAACCAACGAGCTGAGCTGGGTGATTTTAGATATTTAACGTTCAACATGACAAATGCCACCCTAGGCAAGACCATTTCCTGCTAAGGAGAGGCAAAAACAAGAAGCCCAATTCCAGATTCCTCCAACACAAGCAGCAGTGAAACCTGAAGCAGAAAATAGCTGAATTCCCACCAAACTCTCCTTGGCAAAGCACTAGCCAGGCCTCCCAGGGGCATCATCTGAAGCCACCTCTTGTTTTCTGTACAACATCAAACCCTGACATCTCTGTGCTGTCCAAAACCACACGACTACGTGGCCAATGCTGAACCTACACACACCAGTTGATAGTAATTCCAGGAGGAAGTTGAAGCACTGCTCCCAAGGGCTGAAAAACTCTGGTTTTCTATTAAAATAAGGGAAGGAGATATTGCTGGGGGCGTCATACACTGGCTATCGACCTGCGTGTGCTGAGAAGGGCCCGTGTGTTTGCTGGGGTGACACCGTGGCTGCCCTACCTGCCTTGAGCAGCACCTTGACGCAGTCCAGGTGCTCCCGGGCGCAGGCCACGTGCAGGGGCGTCCCGAAGTGGCAGTCGTGGGCCTCCAGGTTGGCTCCGACGTCGATGAGGAGCTGCACGCACTCTGGGCTGCCTTTGGGAAGGGAAAACGGGCATCAAGAGAAGCCTGGCTCGAGCCAGAGGCCCCTCACGTGCTGGCATCAGCCCGAGGAGCTCCTCAATACTTGGGTGATGGCTGCAAAGATATAAATGCTGAATATGAATATGTTTCATTTCCCTGCAACCTCTGAAGAAAGCACGGGATGCCTCATTGCTTAAGTCTGCCAAAAAGCCACGGGGCGAACGGGGGACTACGACAACAGTGCCCCTCTTTATAGGGGAACGGACCTCACGGAGAATAGAAATATTCCAGCGACTCCAGGCATCAGCAGACATGGATGGATGCAGGATACACATGGTCTGAGCCCAGCAATGAGTGCAACTCGTCTCACCTCGGATGAGGAGGAACAACAGGGATGATGAGGGGCCTGGAACATCTGCCCTATGAGGAGAGGCTGAGGGAGCTGGGCCTGTTCAGCTGGAGAAGAGAAGGCTGAGAGGGGACCTGAGCAGTGTCTAGAAGTACCTCAAGGGAGGCAGTGAGGAGGATGGGGCGGCCTCTTTTCACTGGTGGCCACCGACAGAACTAGAGGAAATGGCCACAAACTGAAACACCAAAAGTTCCACAGGAACTTAAGGAAAAATTTCTTGCCAGTGAGGGTGCCAGAGCACTGGAACAGGCTGCCCAGAGAGGTTGTGGAGTCTCCTTCTCTGGAGATCTTCAAACCCGCTTGGACGCAGTCCTGTGCCACATGCTCTAGTTGACCCTGCGTGTGCAGAGGGGTTGGACTGGGTGATCCCTAGAGATCCCTTCCAACCTTCACCATTCTGTGATTCTATGAAAGGCTGCAAAGCTACTGGTTTGCCTCCAGGTTTTCTAACAGTGCTGAGGAGCTGACGTTTATCTGCCCACGATCACATCCCGTGCCTGTCATGTGGGATAAAAGCACCCAGATCCCTTTGAACTCGCCGTGGCACCCGGCAAATAAAGCAGTGTCCTGTGCTGGGCGCTTTTATCCCATTGGCAGAGACGGCTCCCGAGCAGCGAGACCCACGGTCGCTTTCAGATCCTTGGGAATCGCTGGGAATTCCGGGGAGTGCGGGCGGGCTCACCGTTCATGCAGGCCTCGTGCAGCGGCGACGCGGTGAAGAGCGGCGGGTTCACCTTGGCGCCGTGGGACAGCAGCACCTTCACGCACTCGATGCTCCCCGAGGCGCAGGCGTCGCACAGCGGGGTGCTCCCGTCGATATTCCTGGCATCCACCTGCAACGGACGGAGGCGCTCATGGAACACGGCCGCTCCGGCTTCCTTGAGCTCCCGGTTTTCCCAGGAATCCGCCTTGCAGCGCTCCCAGGCAGGGATGCACGGGAATTTTGCAAGTAGCCGTTACGGTTTGGGATGTTATTCCCTTCCCAGGGTTTTCCTACTGTTCTCCTGGTGAACTTGGCAAGCTCAGCGCTGCAGCCAGAGCGGCACGACTGCTCCTTTGCATTCTGCCACAGGAGCACATTCAACCAAACTGGCTCATTTTGCACCAAAAAGGTGCCCAGATTTACTCTGGGCTCAGTTGCCTTTAGCACGTGAGAAGATTTTTTCTTTCTCCACAGTAAAATTAATAAAAGTAAAGCAAGAATAAATAGAAGCCCTATAGGAACCCAGTGTGTCCCCTGCTCCTCTCCCAGCCACCCTGGCCCTGGTGAAGAGCGCCCAAGGTGACCAGGCCTCCCTCCCAAAGGCAGGGTGAAGAAGCCGAGGGCTCCAGGGAGGGAATCCTTGGAATAAGGTGGGGATCCGCCTCCTTGGAATAACGCGGGACGCGAGGAGCCGGGCACGGACCTGGGCGCCCGCGGCCAGCAGCAGCTGGACGCAGCGCGTCTGCCCACGCAGACTGGCCTCGTGCAGCGGCGTGATGGAGTCGTAGGTGACGGCGTTGACGCAGGCGCCGCTCTCGATGAGCTGCTGCAGCTGCAGGGCCTCCCCGCGCCGCGCGGCCTCGTGCACCGGCGTCCGGTCAGCCCAGAAACCTGCAGGGAGGAGGAGGAGAGGCAGGAGATTAAGGAAAAAGGGAAAAAATCAGGATGGATGAGCTGTTGAGATGGAGGAAGGGCAGCTCGGCCAGGAGGGGAGCTGCAGCTTGGAGGATGGAGCGAGCGATGGTGAATTAACCACTTCAGTTTTCTGGTTCCGACCACGTTTAGGACACGGATGTCTCTCAGGATCTGTGCCACACTTTGCAGTCCTTGCTTAACCCTTTATCCAAGCAGAAACCAGCACTAGCACTCGGAGAGTCAGGTCCAGACTCATCCTACCAGGGTCTCAGCTATTTAGAGGCACCGTCCCTCCTGGCTCCATCTACAGTCCCTGGGAATGGAAACCCGCAGAGGAAACTTCATCTAAAATCTCTCTCCCGGTTCCTCTCAAAGTCCAGAAGGTTCCTGGAGAGCATCCGGGCCGGTTTCTTGATGTGGATGATAACGGAGCCGCCAAGGAGAGGCTCTGCCGGGCTGCCCACGCAGCAGCAGGGAAGGACAGGTCCGAGACAGGAGCGTCGAGGGCTGCGCCGGGGACCGGGGACGGAGCAGGGCAGGGAACGGGGCGGACGTCACCCGGCCTGGAAGGGGGTCCAGCGGGAAGGTCTTGGGATCCGCAGGCTGCGGAGCGGCGAGGAGCTGGAGCAGCTTGGGCGGCGTTTAACGGGGACGCGAGGCCGAAAGCAAACGGGGGAGCTGCAGGGGGGCCCTCGC